TGTTGCACCAACTGAAGCCATCGCAAAGGGGTATGCCGCAGAGAAGAAACCTGATGGGAAGTGGAACGAGGAGAAGGGCATCTCCCCGAAACAATACGTTTCATGGGGCAACTGGAGCGACTGAATGAAGTTCACGCGACAGAAAGGAACTGCTAGATGCCTGTGTTCCACCCCAGCCCCGAACCTAAACCCAAATTCTATAAGGAACCCCTTGCCCCTTTTGGGCTAATAATGCCACCTTAGAGATAATAGATGAGGTAATTGATTATTCCTATACTTGTATTGATAATGGGGAAGTAGTAGTGATATATTGGGTGGAGCGTAGGGGGGACCCTAGGAATAATAATCTAATGGGTTGACGGTGGCATTATTACCCCAAAAGGGGCAAGGGGGGGCCTAACTGATTTCCCTTCTGAGCCCGGAATGTCCAAAGAGAGCTCTCGGTCTGTTTCCAACAAAAAAGCGGCTCTGCTCCAAGGCCCGGGCCTGGGCCTTCGAGACCTGGCCTCCTACGGCATCGAGGCCGCGGTGGGCATGGCATGGCCACGGCAGGGTTCACAAGATTGGCGAACAGCACGAGGCCTCGGCCATCGGCCGGGGACGGCGCTGGGCCGAGTCGCTGCAGGCGCGCTGGGTGAGCAAAGCAGGATGCAGATTTCTGATGCAGTTCCATGGTGTAGGAGGCAAGGGATGCGACTACGCACTTCCATTCGTCAGGCGGTGGTCTTATAGTTTTTGTTCTTAGCCGGCCTTATGCCTTGAAAAACAAGGCCTTGGTTCAACTGAGATTTGCTTAGCACGTTAGACCCCGAATGCTGCAACTTCTCCACACCTTACACATCCTTACACTGAGCAAAAGTTTGAGACACGGGGCTTCTCACCTTTTGCAGGTGCTTTTGCGGGCTCATGCGTCGGGGCTCCGGCCCACTCAGATGCTCGACTGAGCCATTCATACCCAGCATACCCATGAGGGCTGGGCTGGAGGCTTGGGAAAGGTTTCCGAGCATCTTCGATAGCTCGGCGCCTCTCTGACCAGAGGACTCTCTTCAATATAGTGCTGGCATCCTGCGAGCACGCTGGCCGCTTGGCAGCACCGTGCACAGAAATCACGCGCAACCAGACAGAGCTGTAGAGTCGTAGGGTACTCCGAAGAAATTTCCAGCTTCAGGCAGCTGGCTAACAGCCATTGCCCTCCTCGAAGAGATGCGCGTCTCGCGGATGGCTGGGCTGACGCCTGGGCTTCTTTCATGCCGTCACATTTTTCGAGCCCTCTGCCTCTAAGAGACGGATGTGCGATGTTTCTAGCCCTGCCCGACAGCGGAAGCCCAGCTTTGAGGATCTCTTTCAACACTTGCATGGCCGCGTGTGCCGCGGCAGCGCAGTGGCGAAAGGCACTTGACCTGCTTGCTGAGGTGCCTTCCGCGTGTCATCTGAGGGTTTGTGGAGTTTGGATGCTCTAGAAAGCCTCGCGACAAGAAAGCCTCGTAAACAGAGCTCTCCAATAGTATTCTCACCCGACGCTGAAGCCCGAGCTTGTGCACATCGCCGAAATTCCTTGTATCCAGGTGCAAAGCCTTTATCAACCGGATTGTGCCACCATGGGTTCGAGCATGACAGCATTGGCCAAGGCAGGATGCTGCAGTTCCCTTAAGTGAGGCCGGATGTCATGATGCATATGATGTTGTGAACCATTCTGACAGACTTAGGAGTCAAGCTTTCAGTCCGTTGAAGCTGTAAGCAGCTGGCAAAAAGGAAGCTCCGTCTTTGCGAAGATCAATACATGAAAAAATATGTATGTATGTATACATGCATACATGCATACATGCATACATGCATACATGCATACATGCATACATACATACATAAAGACATACATACATGCATATGCACATACATACCTCATACATACATGCATGCATACATACATGCATGAATACATGCATGCATACATGCATGCATGCATGCATACATGCATGCATTCATGCATGCATACATATATACACACACACAAACATTCATACATTCATGAATCCATCCGTTCATCCACCCACCCACTCACCATCCATCCATCCGTCCATCCATCCATCCATCCATCCATGCACGCCCGCACGCATGTACGTTTCCAGATGCTCTCTCTCCCTCTCTCTCCCTCCCTCCCTCCCTCTCTCTCTCTCTCTCTCTCTCTCTCTCTCTCTCTCTCTCTCTGTCTCTTCCGACTCAGGGGCAGCAGTGGCATCGGGCTTGGGAGCTTCTGCAAGGCTTCTTTTCGCAAGGACTACAGCCGAATCAGGCTGCTTGGCTTTGTAAGGGCTGTCCGAGCTTCGGGCTTTTCAGGGTTGCAAGGTTCAACCGTCAGTTTTGTGCTGCACCTCAGCCCCAGACGGTCTCAGAGCTTTGTTTACAGCAGGCTGCTAAGGGTAGCAGCTCACTTTTGAAGCCAGTCGCTTGATGCGAACCCCTTGCTGACAGGTCGTCGTGAATGCCTGCATCTCCGCGGCAGAAGCAGGTTACCAGTGGCCGTGGGCACTGGAGTTGTTGTTCTTCTCCAAGAAGGAGCTGAGGCCCGACATAATCACCTACAACACAGCGGTCAGCGCCTGTGAAAAGTCTTCCGAGTGGCAGAGGGCCTTCCTGCTTCTCCGAGAGCTCCAGGACCGGTGCCTTCAGCCGGACAGCACTTCTTACGGGGCCGCCGTTTTGGCGGCGGTCTCTGCCCGGCCCATGCAATGGACGGCAGCCTTCTCGCTGCTCGAAGAGATGATGGGGCGGCGGATCACACCACAGCTGGCCACTTTCACGCAGCTTCTAATGGAGTGCGAACTACGCGGCCTGGCAGAGCGCGAGCGGAGCTTGCTGTTGGCCTTGCCCGAGGCCTTGGAGGCTTCGGTTAGCGCCGTTACGGAGACGAGCGCTTCCGCCACCCGAGAGGATGTGTCGCAGCTGGTGCTGCATGTGGCTGCACAGAAATCCCTCGTTTCCGGAGACCTGGATCGTTGCACAGAGTTTCTTCGTCGACTTGACAGGGCAGGACTCTGGAATCCCTTGGCAGAGGCCTTGTGGTTGAGGGCAAAAGGCAATGACTCCGTCAAGAACCGAGCAGAAGGGCGCGCCCGGGCCCCACCGGAAGGTCTCCGAGCCGGTCGGGCCAAGGAACTGCGCTTGTGCCGTCACGTCTTTGCGTCGGCTTCCATGGATGCGAAGTCCGTCTGCGAGGCTCGGGGCCACAGCCGTAGAGCCTTAGAGTTCTGACTCGGACTGCGAAGGCCATGGAGGACTTCGGGCACCGCTTGTCACAGCAAGGCCTGTGGCTGAAGCTGGCAGCCGGCGTGACTAGAAGCTGCATGATGCTGCATGTTAATTCTTGGTGATCTGAACTTAAGACTTTTGGCCCAGGCTATCTCACAGGACATGTCAAAAGGGTGCGGTTTGGTAGACAGCTCAGGGAGTCTCCAAGTGCCAAGGCGAAGGGCGACCTTCTTGTCTCAGCTTTATCGCGTGCTCCTGCAGGCGCATGGCAATTACGCATTGGCTTCCCATCTACTAGAACGTTCAGGGTTTGTGGCACTTTCCACAACTTTCCCGCTGACGGTTGAGCCTTACGGATTGATGATCGTTTATGGAACCCCGGACTACCAGGGCCTGTTCTCGAGATCGGCTCCTACTGCGGCTACTCAGCCATCCGCTTGGCCTTGTCGGGGCGGGGTGTGGTCACGCTGGAGACGGACCCCATCCATGCTGTGATCGCCAGGTGGGGTTCGGTGCCTGCCCTCTTGGAAGAGCCCACAATCAAAGCACATGCAGGCCAACTAAGGCCATTGGCCTTTGCGCATGCATGCGGTCGTGCGGCAGGAACATGGTGATGATGGCAGGGCTTGACCATCGAGTCGATGTGCGGATGCTAGGTCTTGTTACGCATGTAAGTTGAAGGAGAAATAGTAATGAGTAGTAGCAGCAACATACCACGTATCATTGCAGTGGCAGCAGAGAAGCAGTCGTAGTGGTAGTGCAAGTGCTAGTGCTACTGCTGGTGCTAGTGCTGGTGCAAGTGCTTGCCGTGGCGGTAGTTGTAGTGTTAGTGCAGTGGCAGTGAAAGTGGGAGTGGTCTTGATGGTGGTATTGGCGGCAGAATGGAAAGCTTAGTAGCCCCGGTGTTCATGGGAATACATGCGAAAGGCATTCTCATGCCTACGAATGGCAGGGGAATGCATACTCAACATATCCCCAGAGCCACGACAACTTAGTTTTCAATGTTAGATTGACTACGTGACTACAAGGAGCGTAAGAACCGTAAGAAACGGAAGAGCCATCCACGACAACCTGCCAAACGCAGTTATGTGATTTTGCAAAGTTGGGTACGGTCGAACATGGAAGCCTTCCTGAGGTCTCTTGATCCCACAGTTGCCTCAACCATAAAGTTAAGCCCTAAACATCTAAATACAGGCAGCGAAACCCCGATCCTTTGTTGAAGCCCGCATCAATAATCCTACGCGCAGCACGCGCCATATTGTCAATCCTTGCAATCTGAGCGTTACTTGGCTACTGTTCTTCAGGATCGGCCACAGCAAAGACGTACTGCCTCGCCTCGGCAAGTTTGAGGGCGACCAGAAGTTTGCTTTCGTCTTCATGGACCAGAAGGGCTCGCGATTTCACGAGGTGCTTCCGAAGCAATCCTTGTTCAACTATCCGGACCTCCCTTTTCTCCGTCTTATGTTTTAGAGCGGGCATTTGGAAATTCAGTCTCGGGCATTTCGGTGAACACAGACCATGTTGAAGAGCAGCACACCTCGCTGCTGAGGATTTGAGGCTGCTGGCAGACAGGGATCTGCTTTGCGACGGTGCTGTGGTTGTGGCGGACGGTGTGCCCTAGCTTGCTTTCTTGAGCAGCGGAAGTTTACGCCTATCTCCAGGACAACGTGCTGAAACCGGGTGCGCCGATCTTCCTCTACCTTCTAGCCCAGGCCGCAACACGTGGCGACAGCGCCACCGAGATCGTCGAGCTTCAGGAGTTCGCATCATGGACGACTTAGGGCATCTTTTTGCACTAGAGTGCCAATGCGGGAGGTCCAAGCATCAAGGCCTTAGATTCTAGATTTTCGATATCACGCCTCAAACCTGGGGATCGGCTCTCCACCTAGGCGATGCCAGCAGAGGACTGGATGTCTGTCAGCACACTCCACCGGCCCCGCGGCTTGCTCACGCTCGCGCCACGTGAAGCACCGGCTGAGCTCTGGGAGCTTCATGCAGCCTCGGAGCGCATCCGCACACAGGCCACTAAGCCACTAAGTCACCCTTTTTGCAGCGCATGGTGGCATGATGTCCATGGTTGGAGATGGAGTGGAGTCATGCATTTTGGAGGCCATGGGACAAGGAGTGACCTTCAAGGAATGGTCGTTGTTCAATGAGGATGCTCGCCTGAGTTCAGGAGCAGCTTGTGATGTGTCCAGTCCAGCAGACAGACAACTTGTAATTCTAAGGACATGCGTTCAGGTTTGGAGAAGTTCGGCATCAGTTCAAACCGAGCAACTCCTTGCAAGAAAAGATGCGCGCACGCTTTTTCCGAATCTCCTGGACAGCCCAAGCAAAATCAGCCCCTGCAAGCCTGGATGGTGCTTGTGGTATTCCCGCGATCTGGGAGTTTCAGACACCCTGGACTTGTAGGATCCTGAATAAGATAAGGACCCCTACGTAAGGTATCCTCAAATTAAGAAACGAAGACAGCCAGGCAGCGGTCAAGGCGCAGATCCGGGATGCGTCGGGACCTTGGCATTAGCTTTGAGAGCTTGCAGACAAAAAAGCCAGATCTGTTGCAGGCTGGTTGACTGCAACTTAAAGTCCAATTAGCTCCCGTCTGGAAATGCGTGCCGCCCATCCACTGTCTCAGCACAAGATACTTCAGGTACGCATTCTGCTTCAGCACTTCCTTTAAAGCCCTTTGAGCCTCGGATGGAAGTTGCGCAGACTCAAACTCTGGACAATCGAATCAAGCTCATAGCTCACGGGTGCAGACGCCCCTGTTGCGAAGTGGACCTTCTCCTGAAAGAGGGTCTTGACCGGAACGTGCGCGATGGGCTCACGGGTATGCTCTGCATTCGGGATTGTTTTTGGGTGCCCGAGTTTTGCAGTCCACACTGGATGATACTGGATGTGGGGCTTCATGTACAGAGAACCGGACATCATTGATTCGGAAGCGTTGTCGCTTGGAGTCCTTCAACCACCTTCACCCAGGCAGCAGAGCGGCCGCGATGCGAACGTGCAGCTCGCGACGGAATCCCGCACAGTGCTGGCTGGGGCCCAAGTCTAAATTTAGAGACTGGCAGGGATGTTCCGTGTTGTTCGGGGTTTCGTCAGCCGGATGGGAAGGGCGACACCAGTATGCAATCATCGTTGCGTTGTTCCCTGCCACCTATTCGCCACTCCACCACAAACCTGACCCCAAACCTGGGCGCCTGGAGGCAACCCAAAGGGAGCTGAGCCGCCTACGGGAGCAGAATCGCCGACTGGTGCGCCCCTGCTGGGCTTCGGGGTTATGACGTTTACGGTGACACCATCTGAGTCGAGCTTGCTGGAGGGCTCGGTAAGCATGGGCGTGGCTGCGAAGACCGATCAACGCCTGCGCTTTTTGTCTGTCGAACATTTGTTACTGTTCAGCATGGTTCCTGGCCGTTGAGAGGATGTCTTTCTCCATGCACTGCCACTCCAGAAAGAAACAGAAAAGACGGGTGAACATGGAACATGGCTGAACCAGAGCGCCTTCAAGAACGGAGCCCTCGGTGGCTCGGACGTTAGCTCTGGCCAGGAGAAGGCGGCCAAGAGAAGCGATGCAGAGCTGGGGCCCTGGGGTTGGGGAACCGGGGAGGTTCCCTTCCGCCTTTCTCTATCGCGCTCTCTCTCTCTCTCTCTCTCTCTCTCTCTCTCTCTCTACATATGTGTCTCTCTCTGTATCTGTCTCTCTGTCTCTGTCTCTCTCTCTCTCTCTCTCTCTCTTGTTCTCCTTCTCTCTACATGGAGACCTCTGCATTTATCTGTATGTACAAACGTACATATATATATACATACATAGATACACATTCTATGTGTATGTCAAATGTGTTCATGTACCTCTGATGATATAAACTGTGGATACAACACCTGGGTTTGCAGAAAACGCTATGAAGGGGTTCGATTCGATGCTTCGAGGGGGCGCCCTTTGCTGCCCATCCCTTGAAGTGACCCTAAACCCTAAACCCTAGTCCCTAAACCCTAAAACCCTAAGCCCTAAACCCTAAAACCCTAAACCCTAAACCTAAACCTAAACCCCAAACCCTAAACCCGGGCTCCCGGGGAGCTCTCTCGGGGGACCCAAGGTTTCTCCAGGCCGACCTCAAGCTCGGCGGCGCGCTGCAGGTCGTCCGGTTTACGCATGACGGAAGGAAGGAGAAGGGCTCTTACTGTAGGGCTTAGTTAGGGCTCGGAGTGTAGGAGGGGTCTCAGGGTATTGAAGGAGAATCACCAGTCTTTCGCCTCTCACCTGATCCTTTTGCATCACCTTTCTGCCCGAGAAAGCAGTGAAACAACGGGCCATCCTGCTTGTTTAACTTGTGAGTCTGTGGTAAGCTTGGAGCAGCCCACCACTTCTGCACTAGGCTGCGAAAATGAAGAAGCCTTGCGCAACAGTTTGCCGAACCGTCCAGCATCGAAGCATCTCCAAAAGCCTGCAGACCAAACCTTCGACCGTCGCGCTGGCGGCTGAAGGTGGCTTGTTGCACCGGGTGACGCTTAGGCTTCACGAACGCAGCCCTTCTCTTCATGTCCTCGCTACACCGTAAAGATGACACGGCCTTCGTTCGGCCTTGAAGCTAACCGACGCCCTCCACATGAAGCCCCAAATCATACCTTCTCATACGGCAAAGGCAAGCACGGTGCTGGGAAATCCAAGGCCGGCGATGATTGTTATCACTTGGCTCTTCATCGTAAAACAACAGGACTGACAAGGGTTACAACAGTAGGGTGAAAATGGAAGAGTAGTGTCAAGAAGGAGAGTTGGATCGCAGAACCTATTCGTGGTGGTGGTGGTAGTTCCAGTAGCGGGAGGAGGAGTGGCAGTAGCAGCCGTAGCAGCCGTAGCAGCAGGAGCACCAGCAGCAGCTGTTGCAACAGAAGCTGCTGGCATAGGCGTAGTAGTCATGTTTGGTCGGGATTAGCTACGCAGCTGAAGTAGTGATAGCGACAATAGCAGTCGCGTGCCCATTGCAGTGACCGACAAGCAAGAAGATCATGGCAGGGGTCAAGCAGGCAATCACCGTGCATTCTGAACACGGCCCCCTCCCCACCTTCAAATCCCTGCTTCTTACTGGCAGACTCTGAGCAAGAGAAGTGAACAAGCATGCAGTTTCTCATGCCCGACCTACAGTCCCTACGATTCGAGGCCTTGGCAGTGGCCAAGAAGATCGGCGCCGCGGCCCATGCTCCTGTTGCCGGGGTATTTCGCCGTACCGCGGGCCGTGCCTCGGGGCCTGACCCCTTTGCCTGAGGCAACCCGGAAGGAGGTCCAGCGCCTGAAGATGGATCGGGCAGAGCTCTTGGCCAAGCTCAGCTCCCAGCAGCAGGCCGAAGGGATGAAGGGCCGAAGGTCTGAAGGATCCAAGTCTCAGCTTCATGGGAACTTGAATTCAAGCGTTCAGAGCTGGGAACTTGCCGGGCAGCGCAACACACACGTGGGAGATTGTCTCAGCATCCAGGCACGGAGACACACTTGGCTGCAGGCCTTGGACAAGGTCAACTTCGAGATCAGGCAGCATTCAGAGCACGTGCGGGGCTCGAATTGGCCTCAATCAGTCTTAGCAAATAGGCCGCCGCTTGGAGCCCGAAACCTCCAGAGACGGAGCCTTACGATCCCAAAGACACCGCTTACCTTCAAAAACTCAAAGACCCTTGCAAGTTTCCCAGACTCCAATCAAGGTAGAGGAGCTCAAAGAGCGGAGCCAAAACCTGGAAGAGATGATGGCGAACATGGACCAGGACTTCAGGGTACTTGGGGATCCCAAACCTTGAGGGTTTAGGGTTTCGGCTTGAGAGATGAGGGTTTAGGGTGTAGGGTCTTGAGGGTTCTTTAAGGGTGAGGGAGCCTTACACAGGACTCCCAAAGCTTTCCCTTCAAGCGAAGTGCCCAAAAAAGGAACCTAAGCCTTCTAACCTCCGAGCCAGCCGAGACCCTCAGGCCCTGGCCGAAGTCCCTGTGCACCTTGTAAAGAGCTGCACGGCACATCCCGCAACTCGGAGGCCGACGCTCTTCAAGTGCAGAAGGCGACACAGGAGTCCCAGCGCATCCAGTCCTTCTTCGCCTCCATGAACAAGGTCGGCTGCAGGGATCCGACTTCAGGGTATCGATGCAGGGGACGGGCGGCGTTGCGGTTTGGGTTCATGATGCAAAAGTTCGGATTTTAGGCGGATTTTCGGGCATGCAGTGCGGGAGATTGCATGCACTCAGACAGTATGCAGTTTTCATTATAGTCATTCGTCTAGTTGTATGGCTTCAGCTTACGAGGGTTTCGAGTGGGAATGCGGTCCAGCATCATCCTGACAGTCGAAAGTGCGGCTCTGTGGGTTACCGATTCGCCTTCTTGCCCCCAACTCGCCGTTTCTCTTCGCTTTCTGAGGAGATCCAGAAGGCCCGGGAGAAGAAAGCCAACCTTGACGCCCGTGTTGGGACCTCGGGCTGCAGGGATGGTGGAATGATGTGGAAAGGGTCTCAGCCGCCTGGAAGAACTTGCCCGTCGGGTCGGAATGGTCTTCCCCGAGATTTGTTCAGCGATGTCGGTCTCTGAAACCGTCACCAGTGAGTTGAAGGTGATTTCAACGGTCACCGTCCTCTTTTTGGCACGTTTCTGCTCGGCAGTGTATTGCTACCCGGATGCTTAGATCGCGCAGCTGACCGTTGAGCGGCAGAAGGAAGAGCAGCGCGCGAAGAATCAGGTTCCAAAATGCAAAGCTGTTTCTAGACTTCGCAGCACTCGAACTCCCGATATGTTTGGTTGAGAGTCAAGTTATGATGCCGTTGTTTGTAGGTGGAACGTGGTAAAGCTGTCTCACGCAGACAATTGCCTGATGCTTGTATACATACACATATGACACATATGTGCACATACACACACACACACACACATATATATATATATATGAACAACTTTGTTGTGGGCCAATCTGGAAATCCAGGCTTGGGCCCATATTAATTTTAAACGCTTCGCGTCGTCCGCCTCGGCCCGGCCGCAAACAAGCAGAGCCAAGGAACTGCCGGTGATTTGAAGGCGCCGGGTAGGAGAAGGGGGGAGAAGGAAGGAACAGGCGGGCGGGAAAAAGGGTTGAGGGGGAGGCCGGGAAGAGGGGGCCGCAGAGGGGGGGGAGAACAAAAAAAGAAGGGGGCGAGGAAAAACTGGACGGCGGAAG